CTAGAGGAAGCTTAGAGAGTTATCTCAAGAAATTAGCCGGTGAAGGTCTACCGGAATCCACCGTACGCCGTCACACAGGATCGGTGCTCCGAGGACTACGACACATCCACGCTAACGGTTTCGCTCACTGCGATTTAAAACTCGGGAATATTCTTTGGTTCGGTGACGGCGCCGTTAAGATTGCCGATTTCGGATTGGCGAAGAGGATTGGGGAAGTAACGGCGATAAATGAAGGAGTTCAGATTAGAGGTACGCCGTTGTATATGGCGCCGGAGTCTGTTAACGATAACGAGTACGGATCAGAAGGTGACGTGTGGGCTTTAGGATGTGCTGTAGTTGAGATGTTTAGTGGCAAAACGGCATGGAGTTTAAAAGAAGGATCGAACTTCATGTCGTTGTTGATACGCATCGGTGTTGGTGATGAGCTTCCGATGATTCCCGAGGAGTTGTCGGAACAAGGAAAAGATTTTTTGTCAAAGTGTTTCGTTAAAGATCCCAAAAAGAGATGGACGGCTGAGATGCTTCTACACCATCCATTTGTAGCCGTCGATCTTGATTACGACGGTTTAGTAGAAGAAGAAGACTTCGTTGTTAAGCTGAAAACAGAGGAAGTCTCGACATCGCCGAGATGTCCATTCGAATTTCCCGATTGGGTTTCGGTTTCTTCCGGTTCACAAATGATCGATTCACCAGAGGAGAGAGTTACGAGTTTGGTGACTGATTTGATCCCTGATTGGTCTGTCACCAATAGCTGGGTCACCGTACGGTGACGATAGTGATTAAAAAACAGGGGACAAAAACAGAGTTGCAGAGAAAGGCTAGAGCTTTTTTTTTAATTCCTAGTCAGATCCAACAATTCTAATTTAATTAGTTGTATAAATATTTGTTATTACTTATTAGAAATCGATTATTTATTTATATGTAAATACCAGTTTTGTATTCATGATCCCAAATCTTGATTCTCTTTAGTATATGGAAACACTAATTTGTATTCATGAGCACATATCTCCATTCTCTTTCTCCATGAATGTGAATAAAGATTGTATATTTAGACATAATCACACAAAATAGAGAATAATCTTAACCAAAGAACAAAAAAAAAAAATCTTTTGTAAAGTAAAGATTAAGACTCTTGGACAAGGCTCGTGGCCACCACTGAACAACTAATCTCAAAGTTAGCTTCATCTTCATCAATCCAACTCACCAATCCATAAACCACGTTCTCTTGTAACGCTCTCGGACTCTCCAATCTTACAGTGTAACTTAGCTTCTCGTTTTTCTCGCTGAACACTAGTCTCTTTGGTTCTACGACGACGTTTAGACCCTTCAAGCCTCTCTCTCTCACGCTGTAGCTTCTGTTTGCTTCTCCCACGTTTGTCAATGTCCTCTGAAAGATCTTGGGACCGTTTTGATCGGACGTGAAGTAGGCAATGATTGAAGGGTAATTGAGGTATGGAGATGGGTTTTTACAAGCGTCGGAAATATTCGATCTTGTGATGATATTGATCAATTTTCTTGATTGTTTTGCCTCGTGACAAAGGAAGTTTATGAAATCTTGTGGAGCTGTATCATAGATTAGGCCAGGGTTCAAGACTCTGTTCGTACTCACATGTCCTGCTCCAACGGCTAAAGGGTTGTCTAAAGTCAAAGCCGTTGTCATAATTGCAGATTTTATAGCCGATGGGCTCCAATTTGGATGGACTTGCTTTATAAGCGCGGCGACTCCAGCCACGTGAGGTGCAGCCATTGATGTCCCGGTTAAGAGATTGAATCCGCTGAATAACGGTTGTTCTTGAGTTCCTGAGACTGGTTTAACCGGTGGCCAAGCGGAGAGTATCAGTGTGCCAGGAGCTAGAATGTCCGGTTTGAGGATTTGAGGGAAGCTTGTGAATGGACCTCTCGAGCTGTATGTGCCTACTTCTGGTGCTGGTTTTGTCCCGATTACTGTTTTCCGAAACTCCAGCTTTGCGGTCACGTTGTTTTCGTTGCTTGATGCGTAGCTTTCAATAGTTTCTCGGTGTCTTGAGCTGATGAATGCTACCGGAAACTGGAATTTTATAGTGTCTTGTTCCTCAAGTAACTTATCTGTTATTAAAACAACTGCTGCAGCTCCGGTGGATTTGATTTGATGAAGTTTACTTCCGATGTTTACGTTTTCATTACAGACAACAATTCTGTTCGCGAAAGTCTTGTTTTCGACGCTGCCAGATTCGATGTAAGTTACTGGAAACTGAACCGAAGGGAAATCTCCGGGAAACAGAGATGGAAAATTGAAACTAACTCTGTTTCCAAACGTTAGGGTTCCTTGAAATTGCCTACCAATTGTTCCCGCTCCAACCGTCATAATCCATGGCGCTCCGTTAATTAAACTCCAATAATACGGCCCGTCATTACCACCTGAAGCAACTACAAAAACGCCTTTTTGAATCGCTGCAAACGCTGCCACTGCGATTGGATCATTTTCTAGACCGAAACCATCGCTGTCGTCACCATCCTCAAAGCTCAATCCTAGTGACAGAGATATCACATCAACTCCATCTCGAATGGCTTGATCAATCGCTGCGATTACATCTGATGAGTAGATCCCTTCTTCCCAAGCGGCTTTGTAGATCGCTAGATGCGCGTGCGGTGCGATTCCTGAGGCGGTTCCTTGGGCGTAAGAGAAGTACGACGCGTTCTTAACGTGATTACCAGCTGCAATGGCCGCAACATGAGTGCCGTGTCCGATTGTATCGTACGGTGAAGAGTATTGACCAATCTTGGTTTCTCTCAAATCAGGGTTGTTGGCAAACAAACCCTTGTTGAATACCCTAGCACCAATTAGTTTCTTGTTGCACAAGGAAGAAGAATTGAATTCACATGCTCCTTTCCATTTAGACGGAACCGAACCAACCCCATCGTCGTGAAAGCTGGGACTATCGGGCCAAATTCCGGTATCTATAATACCGATTACTGTACCATCTCCATAATTCGAGACCGGCCATGTACCGGATGTCGAATTTAGACCAATAAACTGCGGAGAGAAAGTGGTATGAAGCTTAACCGGTAAATCTTTGGTGAAAGAGACATACCCGGGTTTGTGTTTAAGACGTTGGAGCTCGAGGGTTGTGAGAACTGCGCTAAACCCGTGAACCGAATCAGTATAAGCGTAGATAATCTTTGGTTTTCTATCGGTTATAACCGAAGTAAGAGTTGTGGAAAACCAGTTCCGATGATTGGAAAATGGCAACGGTTTGGCTGATAAGTCCATGTGGATGATGTAAGTAGAGGTCTCCGCCTTTGCAATCGCTACGTAAAAGGAGATCATCAGAAGAATCACGACGGTCATCAGCATGTCTGAGTAAGTTTTTCCTCTGGTCTTTTCAAACTGAAATGAAATTTGGAGTTAGTAAGAAAAAATTAAAGTTTTGTTAAGAGATGTTTAATTTTTATTATGACAAAAAAAGTTGCAGAGATTGTAACCTTTACTTAGCTTTTGCTTTTGTTAAAGTGGTTTTAGGTGGTGGGTAATACATCTCTCATCATTGTTTCTTTTACTTTCTCTTTTAATTGGGCTTTATTATAGAGGACAATAATTTTGGATATCAAATTGTATTTTATAATAAACTGATAATGAAAAACAGAGTTAGAGAGTTTAATCTCACATGTTGCTAGGTTTGACACACATTTGATGAGGGTATGTATCTTTTGCAAAAGCTTGACAAAGTTGCTTGATGTTGTTGCAGGAGAAAGAGGAAAAATATGATGAAAAAAGCTCAAAATTAAAGTTATCTAGAGGTGTGAGTTTGTGTTTAGAAATCAATACGAGACTTGCCTATTTTTACATGGAACTCATTACTTTCATAGAATGGCCTCTTTTTTGGAGAAGGAAACATATTCTTCAAAAATAAAGATAGACGGTTGATGAGTGTAGAAGTTTGAGGCTGCCCTTGTAGCAACAAGTTTTGCATTCCTATCAAGTTGTTCAATCCTATCACCGAGGACGAAGACGGCCTTAACCGAAAAAGCTCTACATTATCACTATTGCTCAACCCTTGTATGATTGTCCACTTGTTAGCTCTCAAGTCGTACTCATGAACCACCATTGAGTCCTTGGTAGCCTCGGTCAAAACTAGATACTTTCCGTCTTAAGTAACCACTTTCCATGACAACGACATCATCCTCATTTTTTGGTCCAACACTACCTTATTCGGAATCCGTCTAACGAGTACCCACTTGGTGGTGGTCTCAAGGGCATAGTCGCAAATAACTTCCTCTGTAGCCGTTAACAGAGTTAGCCCGGGAGCGGCGCAGAACAATGCTTTAGTGTTTGGAAATTCGGTTTGAAGCAGATGTGCTTTCTCAATCACGGTATTGTACACTACGATGCTTCCGTCGTTTCTTAACCAGTAAAGAACTTGGTCCAAGTAAACAGGTCTCATACCCTTCGCCAGCTCGCTTGAGTGACAAGTAATGGACGTTTTCGATAATGGCCAGTACTAATCTCCTGAGCTAGCTTCCAATTGGTACATCGTTTTTGTATCCTCTGTTGGATTCTCACATATCCAACCTCTTTGGTTAGATCACTTGGTCTCTATCTTTCACACATATTTGGTTTCTTTGTTCTAGAGAGATAACAAGAACCGTTTTTCTCCAAAGACTACATTGTTAAATGTTAATCTTTTGGATGATTGTCTCTTACAACCACATAAACTATTTATACTACTCTTACTTGTTTCAACCTTAACCTAATACTCTTCTTAATAAACAAAACCCATTAAGAGCATCTCCAATGGTAGAGCCCCTTGAGGGGCTCTTTCCAATATTTTTATCATAATTTTTGCATAATTCATAGTTAAGAATCTCATAAGGAGATTTTTATTTTTTCCTCCTCCAATGGTAGAATCTCATTAGGGATTCTTAAGAATTAACTTTTTGAAAATTATTTTAGTTTAAGTGAAGTGTATTTTGTTAAAGTTTACACCTAAAAACAATGACTCTTAATATATACACCTAAAAAGAAGAAGACGAATCCATGATTATGTTTATACGAATTATAGATGACACAGATTACCATCCTCATCAACATAACTATCACAGTTACAATGGTGGTTCGGTTTGATCTTTATAAGCTATGTACAAAGAATTTAGATTCACAACCACTCAACGAGAAAGAACAAATAACCTAACAAATCCCATGAATGTACTGAAGAGAGTACTCAATTCTCTTATTAACCGGAATCTCCACACCACCAACACGAGCACATTTGATGCTTTGACTCTGCTTCTGCATTTCAATACAAAAACCAAATTTAAAAACCCCAAAATTGATGGAGTCTGTAAACTGTGACACCCACACATGATTTCTTCTACCCCTAACTCAAAAATTGACGAACAAGAAATCTAACACCATGAAATCAAACTCGATAAATTCGATTACAACATCATATGCAAGAGAGAGAGAGCGAGAGATTCCTAGAGAAATCATTACATTGGGAGCGTTTGAAGCTGGGAGAGCAAGAGTGTTGCTCAAAATTCCAGTGAATGCCAAAGCTTTTTCCATGAATTTAGGGGATCCACGCCGACTTATTTTGCGATACTCACAGCTCCTATGGTTGTTAACCAATCTATCACCCGACTTGTTCGGTTTCAGCAGCTAACGCTTGGACCTATCCCAAACACACACACATACATCTCATCTCTTAGCGACAAATGTAATCACATACAACACCAAACACTCATGAATCACCAAATAGATGTTATTTAAAAGCCCTTAACGCAACTTAGCTTCAAATACAGAGTAAACTTAAACACATGACTGATGTAATTGTCTACAAGGCTGAGAGACCTAACATAAAACATCTTCCGATGGACCAAAAGACCACATAGAGTAATTCCAATCAATAGCACATAAAGAAACCCCTAATTTACCAATCGACTACAAGTGATATAAAGATTTAGCAGATTCTCAATAAGTGGAACATGGGTTCTCGAATTAGGGCCCATATGTGTTTTAGAACCCTTCAAAACACATATGGGCCCTAATTACTTATATGGCCCAATGGCCTCTTTCTTCTTTCTACTTTCTTCTTCTACGACAAAACACCTTCTTCTTCTCCTTTCTTCATCATCTTCTCACACTTCTCTTTGTCTTTTCTCTTATGTAGGATTAAGTAGTGAATCAACTTCCAACACTCCCTCTTGATTCATTTGCTTAATCCCCAAAATTTTGATTTAGGGATTTGATTCCCTTACTCTTTGTTCTTCTCTGGTGATTCGCCTCCTCACTGTGCAAATTCCTTTCACGACATTGCACAACTCACTGGTGAGTTCTCTTTCTCCCTCAACGCTTCATTCTTCACAAGCTTTTCAATTTGCTTCCTGAGTGTTTGGATCGAATCTTCCGTTTCCTTTTCTGTTTGGGCTTTATTAAAGAGGAGTAAGGCCCACTATTATTAGGCCAATTGGATTTGAAAAGAGATTACCCGTTTCTATGTCGGATGCATAGCGCCAAAATCTAATCGATATTCCCGCCATCTCCATCGATCAATTTGGGTTCTTAAACCTAAATCAGATGCTCAGCTTCGCCAAATCACCAAATTGACCGGATTTGTAAAATGACCGGCGATAATTCAACGGATATTGGGCGAAGACGTAGCCGAGGCGCGGAGGCGACGAGTCGGAAAGACACACTCGAGCGGCTGAAGGCGATTCGACAAGGAGGAATTCGGTCTGCGTCAGGTGGTGGGTACGATATTAGACTACAGAAGCCAATCTTCGATACGGTTGATGATGACGAGTACGATGCACTTGTTTCCCGACGGCGTGAGGAGGCTCGCGGGTTTGTAGTTGAAGATGGAGAAGGTGGCGATTTGGGATATCTCGACGAAGGTGAAGAGGAGGACTGGTCGAAACCCAGTGGACCTGAATCGACTGATGAATCGGACGACGGTGGTAGGTTTAGCGGGAGACTTAAGAAGAAGAAGAAAGGGAAAGAACAAATGCAGCAACCTCAAGTTAAGAAGGTGAATCCGGCGCTAAAGGCTGCGGCTACTATCACTGGTGAAGGTAGACTTTCGTCTATGTTCACATCTTCGAGTTTCAAGAAGGTCAAAGAGACTGATAAGGCACAATATGAGGGTATTCTTGACGAGGTAATAGCTCAGGTTACTCCGGACGAGTCGGATAGAAAAAAGCATACGAGAAGAAAGCAACCAGGTACTGTTCCAGTTACCATCTCCAGGAACAAAAAACTGGTTTCTGTTACTTCGAGTATGGAAATGAAGGAGTCAGAACCAACACCCTTAATTTATGAGGATGATTGTGTTTTCATGGAGAATGAGTTGATGAAAGAGGAAGATATGAAAGAATCTGAAGTCACTCCTTCGCATAATGTTGAGAGTATGGAAGTACCTGGAAGTGATAGTGTTATAGAGGATGAAAACAAGATAAGAAAAGCTGAGGTGAAGACGGAGTTAGGTGTTAAGGAGGTATTTACATTGAATGCAACTATTGATATGAAAGAGAAGGATTCGGCTTTAAGCGCCACTGCTGGTTGGAAGGAAGCGATGGGAAAAGGTGGAACTGAGAATGGGGCTTTACTTGGTCCTAGTTGTGAAGGGAAAACGGAATTTGATTTGGATGCTGATGGATCACTTCGTTTCTACATTCTTGACGCTTATGAGGAGGCTTTTGGTGCGAGCATGGGCACAATATATCTGTTTGGGAAGGTAAATCTCTTGGGATGTTTCACTCAATTTCTTCGTCTTTAAAGTTGTTATTTTGGCCTTAATCTATGAATGAATTCGGACTTCCTTTTTTTACAATTCAGGTTAAAATGGGAGATACTTACAAGAGTTGTTGTGTGGTAGTTAAGAATATCCAGAGGTGTGTTTATGCTATTCCAAATGATTCCATATTTCCTTCTCATGAACTAATCATGCTCGAGCAAGAGGTGAAAGACTCTCAACTTTCTCCTGAATCCTTTCGTGGAAAGTTGCATGTGAGTTTGACTACTTGAGTTACATTCTAAGAGGAAGCAATATCTTTTCCTCTGTTGTTTATTGTTTTTGGCTGTGTCTTCTCAGGAAATGGCATCAAAACTGAAAAACGAAATTGCTCAGGAATTGCTACAACTCAATGTTTCAAATTTTAGCATGGCGCCTGTCAAGGTTTGGATATTTACTTCTCAGTCATGTATTCTAGCAGCAATACTTTTCTGTTGACTCTCTATTCTGCTCTTTATGTACGAATATCAGAGAAACTATGCTTTTGAGAGGCCTGATGTGCCTACTGGCGAACAATATGTTATGAAGATAAATTATCCATTTAAGGTACACTTTAGCTGTTCAAAAATCAAACTAAAAATCGTCGGTTTTTTTATATCTCAACACTGTGACAATTTTCCCCTGTTATAATAGGATCGTCCACTTCCAGAAGATCTTAAAGGCGAGTCTTTCTGCGCTTTGCTCGGGTCTCATACCAGGTTCCAGCTTCTTACTGCTGAGTTTCATTACCTTTCCCTGCCTGCGTTTGGTAGTTGTTCAGTTAAATTTGTATTTTCTGGTCTTCTGTAAGCTTCTTAGTTAACTATGTATGCTGGCTATGTCAATTTAGCACGGTGCAATTTTTCCCTCCTTATCAAAGTTAATTTATATGCAGTGCTTTGGAGCATTTTATCCTTAAGAGGAAGATCATGGGACCTTCTTGGCTCAAAATTTTTAACTTCTCTACTTGCTCACCTTCTGTAGGAGTAAGGCCTTGAAATTGTGCCATATTATCAATGATTTCCTAGTTCTATTTATCTCCAATAATGAGAGGACTTGACACTTGTGCAGGTGAGCTGGTGCAAGTTTGAGGTTACTGTTGAATCTCCCAAGGATATCACTGTTTTAGTTTCGGAGGAAAAGATGGTTCACCCTCCTGCTGTCGTTACAGCCATAAATTTAAAGACCATAGTCAATGACAAACAGAACATAAGCGAAATCGTTTCTGCATCTGTTCTCTGCTTTCACAACGCCAAGGTTTGTTCTGCAACATTTAACAATGCTTCTTAGCCATTTTTTTTTTCTCTTTGTGAAGAGTATGGATGTATGATCATGACATTACCAATCACCAGTAGATTTTCGTACCATGTGGTTTTATATTAACGCTCATTTTGGACGATTGTTTCTTTCTCAAAAGGCACTCTTATGTCTACATTAGTAGCTTGACATATGGTGTGCGTGCTCCTTGATCTTTCAGATTGAGGTTCCAATGCCAGCTCCAGAAAGGAAGAGATCTGGTATTCTGAGTCATTTCACAGTTGTTAGAAATCCTGAAGGAACCAGTTACCCAATTGGTTGGAAAAAAGAAGTGGCTGACAGAAATTCAAAGAATGGCTGCATTGCTTTAAGTATTGAAAACAGGTGTGTTGCAGCTCTGTTACTGAATAGGTTGTGCTTATGATCTAAGTAGCACCGAAACGGGTACGGAAACGGGGACGGAAAACGGCAAAATAAAAATTCATAGATACGGGTACGGCATGGGTACTTCAATAAAAGATATACATATATATATATAATACCCTTAAATATAAATATAAGTCTCAACATAATTTTTTTTTTGATTTAATATTCTAAATAACATAAAAAAGCTTAATATTGAGGAATTGATTTTCAAAGATCTGGATCATCTAAAGGTTGGAAAACTCAAAGAACCTCATATCTTCCATGGAATCTTATGTTAAACCCCTAGAACATGCCTTTTAATTCCTTTTACGTTTGAGTTTTTTGTAGGAAAAATAGTTAAGTTGCCTATTCTAAAAGGAGGACACTTAATTTATTTCCAAAAACTCATTGGAAACGTCCCCGTATATGTTCCCTCACGTTTCCATTATTTGCTTGACGTCCCTAACTACTCTGAAACGTGGGGGAAACGTTTTTAGGCGTCCCCATCAAGTACCTGTCCCCGAAACGAAACTGGGACGTGAGACGGCTGAAAATTAACGTCCCCGTGCATCATAGCTTATGATCCATATATATCTTTGACAATTCATGTTGCTTCGTCCAACATTTTGTTCCCTTTCTTACTGCAGTGAAAGAGCATTGCTGAACCGATTGTTTTTGGAGTTGAACAAATTGGACAGTGATGTTCTTGTGGGACATAATATATCAGGTTTTGATCTGGATGTTCTTCTTCAAAGAGCCCAGGTAAAACATAATTTACTTTGACCATTAAGAAAGATGGTTGAGTTTGTTTTTTGTTTTCTTTCTATGATGTGCTTTTTCATTTACGTGTTTGAGGAACTAAAACACGGCCTTGACAAAGTGCTGCTATTTGACTCATATGAGTATTTTAAGGCCTTGTCTTCTAGGCCTATTAGATGATATTTACCGTTAATAAGCCAGCAAGCTATCATTTTATGCATTGTACATCCTTTAGTCCCTTTTCCCAGTCTCTCCTGTTGTGATGATGATGTAATAGAGATATGAATACTGTCTGTCTTGGTTCTTTAAACTGAATGATTACTACTGTGCAGGCTTGCAAAGTTCAGAGTAGCATGTGGTCCAAAATTGGCCGACTCAAACGCTCTTTCATGCCTAAGCTTAAAGGAAACACTAATTTTGGGTCAGGAGCTACACCAGGACTCATGTCTTGTATTGCTGGAAGGCTCTTGTGTGATATAGATCTGTGTTCTCGTGAATTGTTGAAGCAGGTATGATGCCCAACTCTTGTAAGCAGTAAGTTGAAGCTCAGTCCCTCATGTATAAGCATCTGTTTCTTGCAGGTCAGTTATTCGTTAACGGACCTTTCAAAGACACAGCTGAACCGGGACAGGAAAGAGATAGCGCCTAATGATATTCCCAAAATGTTTCAGTCATCCAAAACACTTGTGGAACTTGTAAGTTCTTCAATGAACTCGCTCATGTCTGTTTTACGCATGAGTTGGTACTACCACATTAGGGACCATAGGTTATGAATCCTTGCAAGCGAAACAATGTAGTGCATACTGGCGAAGAATGTTGGTGAGTGATGACTGCATCTTAA